AAAAAAGCGGGGGGGGAGGGTAGGGTGATGGTAAGGGAAGGAAGACTATGGTTCGGTCTACTAACAAATACAGAAATAGAGACGATCCACATTATCGCATATTCTACCACTAATACCAGCCAAATTGTATGCCCCCAATTTCAAATATGGAAGGAATCATAATAGTTAGAGCTCTAGTAATGTACCTCTAAAGTTGTGGGAGAGCTCACAAAATTCACTGTGTAGCCTATGCATATGGTGGCCTGCAGCACGCAGTTTTTTTCCAAAAGGAAGAAATATAGAATTTTAAGTTTAGATAAATAACTAGAAAATTACAGGGCACCTATACAAAAGCAGCTTACTTCTTACTGTTATTTATACTATCCATTAAAAAAAATCCAATTATAAAAATAAGCACTGAGTCACATTTTTATAAGATAGGCAAAATGTTCTTCCCACATTTTAAAAAGTCTTACCTGTTTTTTTTTTCCCTAAACTTTCAGAAAAATGACAATGAGAGTACCTTGGTTTGGGCTCAAGTAAGAGAGTCTTTTAATAAAGATTTTTACATTGAAGAGGAATATAGTCAGGATTCATTAATAACCTAACATCTCAGTGTCTAGAACATCTGACTAAAGAAGTCACCCAAAAACCAACCCACTCAGCTTTAACACCTCTTATCTTCTAGTAGAATTTTTCTTGAAATATAAAGGAGCAAAGGAAAAACAGCAACACTGCCACCACCAAATAAACAACTCCTAGGTTAAAAAACCCATTTTAACAGATTAAATCTTCACAAAGTCCAATTGAACCTATAGCTAAAAGTGAATTATGCAGGGATTCAGTGAAATTACCAGGCATTTAAAATGAAAAAAATTATTTATATGCATGGCAAGTCCTCTATGAAATGTACTCCAAGAAGCATTGACTCCAAGAAGCATTGACTTTTTTCTCTTTTAGTAAGTTTTGTGTCATATTTAAGATTTGTAATTTTAGTTTGCAGGCAGTGTAACATTTTAATAGGGTGTATTAGTTACCATGTAGTATTGCTTTGCTACTATTCATATAGGATCTTTTATCCTAAAGATTAGTTGTTTTCTTAAGAGGAGTTTGGTTCTGCTTCAGAAGTCTTATATAAATTAACAGGCTTATCAAATATTAACATGGAGGGAGGTGACACAGGATGCAACATAGACAGTGAAGCTCCTTTTTGTATATTTAGGAATTACTGTCTCCTTCAAGGTATTTACACTAGAAAACTTGGTCTGTCCTGATTAATATTTTAGTAGTACAGGGTTGAGTGATCAGAACCTTGGCTAAACTTTAATTCAAAATTGTTAACAAATACTTCTGGTGTCAAGTCTATGTGATCGAGCTATTACAAATTTATTATTATGAGGGAAAACAATATAGCCAGTCAGTTATGAAAAAATGTTTCAACCACTGCTTTCTCAGTTTAGAAAGATGAAAACTACATATGGTTTATCATACAATGAATAATATCTCTGTCCCCTGAAATTTCCTTAATTTCATTCATTAGAGGGGGGTTTAAAAAGACTTAAGCGCACTTTACAGCAGCATTCAGCTTTCCTATCAAATACTCAGTATGTTAAATATTATGTGTATTTTTTTCTCTTTTGGTAAGCTAGACACTGGCTTCAGAATTTGTGGAAATGGAGAAAAGAACTAGTTCAGAAGTATTATAGAAATTACCAACAGTGAGTTTGTAAGCCAAAAGCAGGGAAACCACTATTATCAGCTGAATTGTCTGCTCCCCAGCAAAATAAAATCATATGTTGAAGTCCTAATCTCCAATAACTCAGAATGTTCCTCTATTTAGACTTAGGGTCTTTAAGGAGGTCATTAAATGAGGTCTTGAGAGTGGGCCTTAATCTGATATGATTGGTATCCTTATAAGAAAAGAAAATTTGGAGACAGATACAGAAAAAAGACAATGTGAAGACACAGGGAGAAGATGGCCATCTACAAGCCAAGGAGAGAGGTCTGGAACAGATCTCTAACCTCCCAGCTCTCAGAAGGAACCAACCCTGTCCACACCTTGATCTCAGACTCTAGCTTCCAGAACTGTGAGAAAATATATTTCTGTTGTTTAAGCCAGGGGTCCTCAACCCCTGGGTCACAGATGGATACCAGTCTGTGGTCTGTTAGAAATTGGGTCACACAGCAGGAGGTGAACATTGAGTGAGCTGGCAAAGCTTCGTCTGTATTTACAGCTGCTCCTCATTGCTGGCATTGCCACCCGAGCTCCACCTTCTTTTAGACCAGTGGGGGTATTAGATTCTCATAGGAGCTTTGTGAACTCTATTGGCAACTGTACATGTGTGGACTTGACTGGGCCACTGGATGCTTAGCTGGTTAAACATTATTTCAAGGTGTGTCTGGGAGAGTGTTTCTGGAAGAGATTAGCAGTTGAACTGATGAACTGAAGAAAGAAGATGACCCTCCTTGATGTAGGGGGAACACCCATTGAGGGCCTGAACAAAACAAAAAGGCTGAGGAAAGTTGAATTTGGTCTCTTCATGACTACTTGAGATGGGCAGTAAGGCTTCTCCTGTCCTCAACACTCCTGGTCCTCAGACCTTCAGACCCAGGCTGGAGTCTAGAACAATAGCTTTCTGCCTCTGTTGAATTACACCACTGATTTTCCCGGGACTCCAGCTTGCAGATGGCAGATCATAGAACTTCTTAGCCTCCATAATTGTGAGTCTTAATACCTTATGAGAAATCAGTCAATCAATCTCTCTCTCTCTCTCTCTCTCTACACACACACACACACACACACACACACACACACACACACACACACACACTGGAGATGCCAAAAAAAGTGTACACATTTTTAACTACGTATTGCTTTTAATTTGCCGTAGTCAGAAGTGTCTGGACACTGATGGTAACCACTTTGAGCACCTCTTGTAATTGCAGATGTCAAACGTGACTTGTATTCATCTTTTTTTATCAGTACATATTGAGTATTACAATTTTAGTAGTTTTTCCTTTCTTAAAATGTGTATACATTTTTTTGCCCCCCCAGAACACACACACACACACACACACACACACACACACACACACACACACACACCCTATCAGTTGTTTCTCTGGAGAACCCTAATACATTTTTCATTGTTTCTGTTACATTTTTTATCCTGCTGACAGCTTTTTCCATCTTTTCCCAAGTGGGATTCAGGCATTGCAACTGTATCCTGAAGGAGTTTTATGCAACTACAGACTGCTCTAGAAATCTTTTCATAGTATTTACAAAATTAAACTGAATTGAGAAATGGAGAACCCAGGTCTGCAAATGCAGCTGCCATCTATAGATTTTTGGTTTGTGAAAGGAAACCTCTTCTCTTCTAGGAAGTAGACTTCCAGAAGCAGCCGTTCCACACTGATAACATTCCCGAGGTGTAGAGTGCAAGCCACACTATTCCTGCCCCCATCCAGTACCTCATTCCTCAACTGCCTCACCTAGTAAGATTTTTTTTTTAAATAAGCAACACATAGCAAAACTTCAAAAGCCTAAAGAAAGGACAATATCCATGATTGCAGGTGAAGCAAATGCACATTATGAGGAGCTCAGGATATAAATGCATTTTATACATTTAGTGAGTGATACAGGATAGGAACATACAGGTTAAAAATGTAGCTTACATCTTCCTCCCCTCAGTGCCCATTGGCTAAGAAGTCCTATGATCTGCCATCTGCAAGCTGGAGTCCCGGGAAAGCCAGTGGTGTAATTCAAGAGAGGCAGAGAGCTATTGTTTTAGACTCCAGCTTGGGTCTGAAGGCCTGAGGACCAGGAGTGTTGAGGACAGGAGAAGCCTCACTGCCCAGTTCAAGCAGTCATGAAGAGACCAAATTCAACTTTCCTCAGCCTTTTTGCTTTATTCAGGCCCTCAATGGGTGTTCCCCCCTCATCAAGGAGGGCCATCTTCTTTGCTCAGTCCATCAATTCAAATGCTAATCTCTTCCAGAAACATTCTCCCAGAAATAAGAAAGAATTTGTATTTGTTCCTGGGATCTCGAATGATTGATAAACATGTAGGCCTGGAGAGTCTGAGAAGAAAGCACATTAAGATGTTGCAAGAATAGACTTGGGAGGGTATGGAGGGGGAAATGAAGTAAGAAAGTGATATGTAGGCTTATCGTTTTAAATGATTTTTGAGAAAAACAGGACAACTTCCTGCGTGGTTTGCAACCTTGAGGAGGACAGATGAGGAAGGAAGCTTACTTTGTACTAAATTAAGAACTTCCCCTTCTGCCACCCATTCAAGAAATTTCAGTAAAGTCTTAAATTAATACTCAGTGCTTTTAAAAACAGAATTTGTATTTTTTTTTTTTAAGTGCAGAAACAAGCCTTATTAGGTTGGGAACAAGAAAACCTTAGACTTGAGGTATATGAAGGATTACCAGATGGCATTTTGGACCACCGATAAAATATTTAACTGTATCTCATATTAATCATTGCCCTAAAACAAAGCTAAACATAAATCACCATAATAATCATCTAGGGAGTTGGGTGCTAACCTTTTACAAGTTATCATATTCCTATAAGAATGACTTCAAAACACAAAGAAAGTGAATTTTAGTTGTGAATTCAAGGTTCAAGATCTTTACAAGTGGAAGCCAGATTCAGACAGTGTTACATTATTTCACCAAATGGCAGTAACTCTCTGATCTTGAGGCAGTTATGGGCTAACACATTTAATACAGTCTTTAAATAAATCTGTAGTCAGAGATGGTGTCTTTCCTGGTCTGAAAGAAGAGGCCTGTGATGGAAATAATTACATTGATTCAAGGGTCTTCTCTTTTTTCACTGGCTATGATTTAAAA